TATTTAACTAATCATATTTTATTTTAACTTAAAAATCTATTTAACTAATCATATTTTAAAAAGAAAAATGATCGAAATATCTATGTCGACATGACCTACATTAATGTGAGTGTAATCTCAAACTTTTTTTTCTTTCCTCTGTAAGAAGGGACTAATATTATGGAGTGCTCGTTTTCAGCGAGGTACTGGGCTGGTCTCTTTATTTCACTGACTCCTCCTTATTTAAACTCTATGAGATGTGCTGGAGACTTAGAAAAGTCTGCCTCTCAGGCCACAGCGCTTCATGACCAATGCCTGCATTATTCCCCAGTTACTGGAAGAGCACGGTACAGGAATGGTGGCTTTTCCATTTTTCTTAAGATAAATTATACAGATTTTAACAAAGGAAGGACATGAAATCATGAGATGTTTTGCAATCTTTCTATCTCCCACGATGGTCATGAGAATGTGAGTTTGCTTGTCACTTTTTAATATTTCTACTAGAAACTAGAGGGAGCCTGTCTCTCAGTTCTCAAATAGAAAGTGAAGTGTGTGGTTGGCTCTCATCACTGTCAATCATCTCAGAGGTAAAGAAGGTGGGCAGACCTGCCTCAGGAGAAGAGGCAACCAAGTCCTGTCCATAGAAATTGATTGTAAACAAACACCTTTTTTTGGGTCTGCTTTCCTAAGATGGGGAATCACGTATTTATATCTCAACATGTAAAACATTTCAAGGGAGGAAACTTGAGCAGTAGTGGGCTGAAAATCCAGAATGAGTGCTTTTTGTTTATTAATGTTATCTTGAATAGAAAATAAAAAGGACTTTGTTGAAGAAAAGCCTCTCATAAATGTCTGTGTCTTAGAGTTTTTAACCTTTGTCTCCCAACCTTATAAAAAGTAGTAATAATTAATTTAGGACTTGGCAAGGAGAATGGACTATCCCTGGACTTTGGCCAGAAATTCACCTACAACAGAGATTTTTACATATCCCCTTTTCATGTGTGAGAAGTCCGATATTTAGGAAAATTAGGTTTACTTGCCCAAAGTCCAAGGTTAGGAAATGGGAATTGTGTCTATTTCTTTTCTATAAGACTCACCGGCAACATCTATTCCTTTTGATTCTCAAAAAGCTTAATGTTTATATAACCCTTAGCATTGTTACATATAATTCACTTTGTCACTGAGTTTCACTTATGATTTAGAAGGTTGTATTGAGAAGCACAGAAAGAAGCCCAAAGAATAAAAATGTGTGTTCCTAGGAATCATAGCTAGTGCCTACTTAATTTTTACTTTTAAAAGTATTATAAAATTGTAGAGATAGAGGATCTAGTACACATGTAACCACATTCTTATTAATCATCACAATGGGATTAAAAGTGGGAAAACAAATAAAGACTAAAGTTCATTTTTCTTCCTCTGAAGAAAGCTTGCGTATTACCTGCCATATCCTCACATGGCTAAATGCACCTGATAACAGGCCACACAGGAATGGTTTCCGAAATTTCCATCCACAGTGCAACGGACCCCTTCATCTATTATTAGGAAAACCGAAGACTTGGCAGGAGAGTGTCCCATGTGTCAGGAAGGCTGCAAGAATTTAACTTCTCCATTAGCTTGAAATACTTGCAATGAAAACTAGGGATAGGTGAACCACAGAGCACCCTGGGCATCAAGAGACTAAGCATATGCCTGCTTCATTCAAAATGCCCGTATGCACGTGGGTTTCTTTCCCTTGGGGAGTGAGAAATGAATGGAAGGAAGACGGCACTATGGATGGAAAGACTGTAAGGAAAATATAAACATTTTCAATATTTGCTAGGCGAAAAGTTAAAAACACACATATTATGGGATCTCATTTGGCTAAATGCCAATGATATGCAATAGCTAGAATTTAGTAGTATAAAACTGTTCCAAGGGGGAAAAAAGCAATTTGCCAATAATGTGGGGGAAAAAAATAAATGGAGAGGAGAGACTGTGTGATTCAGGAGATGTTATATGTGTAGTTGTAAATAATAACTTCTAACAGCAAAGAGCAGTAAGAGAGGAAAGATGAGCAAGACTTCAGTTTATAAGAAAAGAAACTGGACATATGTTCTCTCTTGCAAATTAATTGTAAACCAGAATACCACCTCCATGGAACATTTGAATGACTAAGCTGGATGGGAAAATAGTCTACCCCAGATTAACCTGTTACGATTTATTTTTAATGTAAGATTAACAGCCCTTGTGAAATATCCAACCCAGTGGCTGCTGTTTGCTGACAAGCTTTCAGCTTCATTTTTAAAGCTGATTTAGGGCCCCTGGGTGTTTAAAAACCCATATCCGAGCTAGTGCCTGGGTCAGATGATGTGAACATGTGGATTCATGTCCTCCTGGAACTGGGCTAGGTGCTTTTGGTGTCTGTGACCCTTAAAGCCAATGGGTTCAAATGGCCCGTTGATATTTTATCACCACAGCACCACACCTCGTGGGACTGTCCTTTTCTTGTCTTTAAGTGGATTTTTTCTTTGTGTCAGCTGTAGGTAAATATTTTAAGGGACTTGAAGGATCACTTCTTCCCATTAGTAAGTTATTCTAAGAGTAAGGGATGGATGAAATAAGATTTCACTACTTAAATGAGAAGGCTGGTATAAAAATTTCCCCAGCCACCCTCTTCTCAGATAGATACACATACTTTAAAATACTTAAGACAATTTAAAATATGGGGACAAGAACATATTATTAACCAGTTTTGCACACCATAGACTGCACAAGTTTTCACTTCCTTCGTGTGCCTGCTGGTTTCTATATTTTGATTATAAAATGTAATGAATACAGTGCAATGGGAAACTCCCTGGACTGGCAGTGCGGAGACTAAATCCTCAGTCCCGCTCGGCCATCGATCTTAACCTCTGTCAAGGTGAAATACTTGGGATTAAGTGATTTTTAAGGCTCTTTTCAACCTTAGTCTTTGATAACTTATTTAAAGACAAATTTTAGTTTTGAAGATACTTGGTTTTTAATGATTATGCTTTGTTAGACCATTGGAGTATGACAGTAGTTGATAAAATGCTACGTCTACATCTTTAGAAGCTATGCTCTATTTACGTAAGGAATGGCTATTATGAAGGACTGCTAAGATATGGGAAGAGAGCGTTTTTGAAATTGATGAGCTACTGTGCCTTTAAGCTTCAAAAACCTGGCTTGCCCTATTGTTGCTATCACTAGTCCTTGTGTTAACTTGCCTGATTATTTCTTTCAGTTACTACAAGTGATTCCTTTGGAAGTTTTAGATGTGCATCATCTTGGTAATTTTTTTTTATCCTCACCCGAGGACATTTTTTTTCCATTTTTTGTTCAGACAGAGTGGGAGAGAGAGAGTGAGAGAGAGAGAGAGAGAGAGAGAGAGAGAGAGAGAAACATCGACGTGAAAGGGACACATCAAGTGGCTGCCACCCACACAGCCAACCAGGGCTGGGGACAAACTGCAACTGAGGTACGCGCCCTCAGTGGGAACTGCACCAGGGTCTCTCTGGACCACAGGCCGATGCTCTAACTGCTGAGCCAAACCAGCCAGGGCAGTCATCTTGGTAAATTTTTGAGTACTTTGCTGTTCACTAAAATCAAGAACTATTTTTTGAAAATGGTCACAATCTATTTTTATTATTTTATTTATTTAAAAATTTTGTTCTTGATTTGTGAGAGAGAGAAAGAGAGAGAGAGAGCACACAAAATTAATTTGTTGTTCTACTTATTCACCCATTCATTTGTTGCTTCTTGTATATGCCCTGACTAGGGATCAAATACACAACGTTTTGTATTGAGACAACGCTCTAACCAACTGAGCTACCCAGCCAGGGCCCATTTTTGTTATTTTAGAACTATTAAGTTGAAATGTATAACAGATTTTGTGTTCTGTACTATAGGATGGGTAATAGAGATTCAACAACAATGAAATAAAATAGGCATTGTCACTGCTCTCAGTTCTATGAAGGCTTCCCTGAAAAACTAAGGTCAGTCCGACTGGTGTGGCTCACTGGCTGAGTGTCGACCCATGCATCAAGAGGTCGCCTGTTCGATTCCCAGTCAGGGCACATGCCCAGGTTGTGGGCCCGAACCCCCTTTGAGGTATGTAGGAGGTGGCCAATTGATGTTCTCTCTCATTGATGTTTCTAGCTCTCTCTCCCCCTCTCTTTCTAAAATCAATAAAGAAAAATTATTTTTTAAAAAAGAAGTAAGGTCTGAGTTAAAATCTGAAGGATAAGTAAGTGTTAGCTGGGTGTGGAGCTGGGGTAGGGTCAGGGAACTGCAGGAGGAGATACAATGCAGCCGGAGTCCCCGCTTGCAGTTTGGGGTTGATGGCAGTAGAAACCCGTGTTCCCGCTGCCAGTGTTGGCTGAGTGCTCGTCCAGGAAGACGAATCTGAGCTGGTGGGCTGCAAGGAGGACCGTGGAGGAACAAGGCTGCCCTGCTCCACCTACCCCTCCTACCCCATAGTGTGTTTGTGATGTGGAGGAAAAGCAGAAGGTCATATGCAAGCTATAAATGAAAGGGGAGACAGCCCAGATCTAGAAGTCTCATTAGCACTAGCCATAGCCTGTGTGGGGAGCACTCAGGTGACTGTGGGGACCCCTCAAAGGCACTGCCATGATTTGCCCCAGTGGTAAAGACATTGTCAATCACAAGGTACAGGGAAGAACAGTACAGCTGATGAGAGCTAGAACATTGAAAGCTCATTATTGTTCCCTCAAATTTCTCTTTCTTTGCACTGGAGCTGATGAATCTGCCTCTTGTTACTCCTGAGAGTTTTGAGTCAAGTGGAAGGTACAGAAGGGAGAAGCTCAAAGGTGGAAGCTTGTTCTGGAATTGAGTTAAGAACCCAAGTTCACCTGGTTGGACTGCACTTTGCACAAAGCATCTAGAATGTCTGGACTAAACAGACAGGGGTTTTAGAGCTAGTAAGTTAAAACAGTTATAAAAGCAAAGCCGCATTTTTGTACTACTGAACTGTGAGGAGAGCATGAGTTGAAATTCTGCCTCACCTTGTTCACAGTAGACCCCGGTGGTTCCCAGAGGACAGTAACAGGTATATCCATGAGGCAATGGGACACAGGTGGCCCCTCTGTGGCACTGGTGCGGGGGGTCGTGTTCAGGGTCACAGGTGGAAACTGTCTCCGTGCAGAAGGCCCCTTTCCATCCAGTGGGACAGTCACAGCTGTAGGTTGAGAAGGGAGACAGCATGATTGGAACACCTGAGTAGAGAGAGAAGTCCACCTGTGTATCAATCATCCTGATGTTAACTTGGCAATATTGACTGAGGTGCCAAGATATCCAAGTGAACTGTGATTCAAACTTCCAAGATCCAAACTGTCAAAGAAAAGAGCTAATAACTGGTTGTGAGATTACTGGACTCCGCATCAAGGATGTAAAAATGTTCCGGATATGGACATTGAAAGTGAATTGTACAAGAATCATTTCTTTGAACAAAACAGCATTGCAAGTCCCTCTCCTCCCCCCACACCACCCCCAAGGGGAAGGCTGTGAAGGGAGTTGCTGACTCCGAACCTTAAGCCTTGAGAAAAGAAATTCACCTTGATGTATGCTCTGTGCCATTGCTGAACACCCACACCCAGGCTCTGTGTTTGCAAAGGAAACTGCAAACCCCTCCAGAGAGGAAGCAAAGGTACAAACCCCTGGGATGGGTCGTGGCCCTCTGAGTTAGGATCAGCTCTGGGACATGTGAAAGGGATCTTGCCCAGAGAGTATCCTGGTAGCTAAAGAGCACTTGGTAGTAAGAAGTAGTCAGTTAATGACTGAAGAAGAATCTGAGGGGTACAGGGGAGCATCCAGTGTGAAGAGAAACCTTGTCTGGCTTGAGAGAGTGATCTTAGGGGGAGCCCACTAGGGGTGTCTCTGATGGACCCACTAAAGGCAGAATTGCCAGATAACATGCAGGACACCTAATGAAATTTAAATGTCAGGTAAACAATGAATACGTTTTTAGTGTAAGTATATCTCATACAGCATTTGGCTTTTATTTTTTATTTTATTTTATTTTATTTTTTTTTATCCTCACCCGAGGATATTTTTCCATTTTTTGTACAGATAGAATGGGAGGGAGAGAGAGGAAGGGAGAGAGAGTGAGAAACATCGACGTGAAGGGACACATCGAGTGGCTGCCACCCACACGACCAACCAGGGCCAGGGACAAACTGCAACCGAAGTACATGCCCTTAGCGGGAACCGAACCTGGGTCTCTCCGGACCGCAGGCCGACGCTCTAACTGCTGAGCCAAACTGGCCAGGGCCAGCATTTGGCTTTTAGATAAGCAATATTTAAGATATACTAAAAATTATTTATTGTTTATCTAGAATTCAAATTTATCTGAATGTTTTGTATTCTTTCCTCCTAAATCTGGCCACCTACACTAAGGGCACATAAGAGAAAGGGTTAGCTTTATTTTATTTATTTATTTATTTATTTATTTTTAATGGATTTTATTTATTTATTATTTTTAAAATGTTTTTTCTTCATTGATTTTAGAGAAAGAGAAAGGGAGAGGGAGAGAGAGATAGAAATATCAATGAGAATGGACATCTATTGGCCGGCCACCTCCTGCATGCCCCGCACTGGGGATTGGGTCCACAACCTGGACATGTGCCCTGACCAGGAATCAAACCGCCGACTTCTTGGTGCATGGGTGGACGCTCAACCACTGAGCCACACCAGCTGGGCAAGAAAGGGTTAACTTTAAATCTCCCCAGGCCCAGAGAGCTCTGAGCCATCCAGGATGTGTCTTTAATCCTGTCTTTTTCTTTATGCTGGCAGAATCCTCACAGATTCTGGGGATTCAAGGCGGCTCCTATAGTCTCCTCTAGGTGCGTCAGCCTGAATGACACATTACGTGCAATGCAGAGGAGGAGGTAGGGACAGTGAACACTCTACAAACATATTTTTATTGTTGTTGTTAATTTCGAGCTGAGGATATTTTTCCATTGATTTTTTTTAGAGAGAGTGGAAGGGAAGGAAGGAGAGAGAGAGAGAGAGAGAGAGAGAGAGAGAGAGAGAACCAGTATAGTTCTAGCACTCTCTATTGAAGAGTTCATCCTTTGCCTCTGGTGAGTCCTGTCTGTGTGTGCGTGGTCCTGTGTCCCTCTAACCTGAGAGAGAGAGACAGAGAGACAGAGACAGAGAGAGAGAGAGACATTGATATGAGAGGGACACATGGATTGGTTGCCTCCAAACATGCAGGGATCCAACCTACACCCAGGTATGTGCCCTTGACTGGGAATTGAAACCTCAATCCCTTGGTGAGAGGGCCTGTGCGCTAACCACTGCGAACACCAGCCAGGGTTGCAAATACCATTAATACAAACAATGAAAGTTTCATATAATTGAGATTAAACAAAAAAGACATGGCAAGACTGACCTCATTTAGCATGTATCTTTCCACTATTTCCTCTAAGCAAATTTTAAGCTGACAAATGCTGGGATAATTGGGTAGTCACTTGTAGAAGAATAAAATTAGACTCCCATCTTACACCACTCACAAAAATTACCTGGACATGGATTAAAGACTTAAATTTCAGACCTGAAATCACAAAACCCCTAGAAGAAAACAGTGTTCGGTTTTGCTTGTTTTTAAACATCATATAAATGCAATGATATTATATATATTTTTCAATAACTGCCTTTCACTCAGGGTTACATTTTTGGAATTCATTCATGTAGACACATGTCGCTGTTGCATTTATTGTCAGTGCTATATAGCAATGAGCAGAGCTCACATTTTTGTGTAGCTGAAATTTCACTATTCTTTTATAGTTTGCATTTTTAACGACTTATTAAGAAATCTTTTCCTATTCCAAGGTCAGGAAGATATTTTACGTCGTCTCCTAAGATTATTCTAGTTTTTTCCTTTTATGTTTAAGTCTCAATGCACCTGAAATTATTTTTGTGCTTGATAGGGGTGGAGATCAAATTCCAGTTTTCCATCTAGAGAACCAGTATAGTTCTAGCACTCTCTATTGAAGAGTTCATCCTTTGCCTCTGGTGAGTCCCATCCATGTGTGAGTAGTCCTGTGTCCCTCTAACCTGTTCATCAGTGTGTTGGTCTAACCTTGTGCCAATACCACACTGTCTTCATTTCTCCAGCTTTATCCCAGGTCTTGGTATCTAGAATGGCAAGTTTTGCAAACTTGGTTTTCTGTCCAGAGTGTCTTGGGTATTTTCACCTTTTGCTCTTTCATATCTTTTCCTGTCAACAGAGGCAAATTTCCTACTTTCTCCTTGTGTAAAATGAGGTTTGCCTTTCATTTATTCTTACATGAGCCTGTAGCTCTCAGTGGTCCCAGGCCGATGAGGCATCTCCTGTTAGATCCCTCACCTCAGGCAGGCCTTTGCCATTGATTCTGGTCCCTCCTAGTCCGCGTAGCCCTCAAAGGTAAGTTCACACAGCTCCAGGTTTTAGCGGGAACTCAAGGTTAAAGCCAACTTTGATGCTGGCTTTCTAGGGTCCTGCTTTCATTCAGTTTGGGCTCTGTAAATGTGTTGTTTTCACTTATGAAAATATACATTTTCTGTTATGAAAATATACGTTTTATATTTTATTCATATTTGAATAGTTTCATTTGGGAAGATCATTCAGGATATTTCCCATAGTTCTACAAACAGAAACTCCCTACAGATAACCTTTTAAAAAGCAACACATACCATTTAGAAACACCTTTCCATGTTTATTAACTTCCCTTCCATGACTTTGTATGTATTAGTTGCATATTATTTCACTGAATGAATGAAAAATACTTTTTCCCCCACTATCACTTTTGAGATATATATTAAAAATTTTTCACAGTCTACAAACAACTATGTGCTAAAACACTTGTAGTTAAATCTTTGTGCATCTCTACAGTCATTTCTTTGGGAAAAATTCAAATATCGTCGTGACTTCTAGGCTTTCGATACCTTTTCCAACCTGCCCTCCATAACAACTGTACCAATTTACATTCCCATCCCAGTGAATGAGAATGCTCCTGAAATAATAGATGCGTATATAATTAAAAATATGAAACATTTTTATAGGCTTGTTCTTTACAGAGCCCATAATTATTGAAATAAAAATGATTTAGTGTCTGTCTACATATATTTGTCAAGAACATACGAATTTCAAATTCCTATGTTTTCCTTTAGTATTGGGCAACCTGATCAAATTTCTGCTTCACCAAAATTGATTATTGTTTTATTATTTGAGTGTTTACTCTGTGCACAGCACTCGCGTAGGTCGTACAGGGTGGCCGAAGATGTGGAGGCGTGAAACTGGCCGGCTGCGGTGAGCTGTGCGGGCTGAAGCACAGCGGGGCTGCATGTGCCCAGGAGCCCAGTGAGGGCACACAGAGTGCGGCCCGGACCCAGAAGCCAGCGTGGGGAAGAACTCGGAGAATGAGAACATAATTAACCTCACACCACATGTTCACCAAGGCACCATTACATTGTGGTTCTAGGAGAATTTTATAATACAAAGTCTCATCTATCTGGAACTTAAAGGCATGGGCACATACACAAAATGCTAACTAACAAACAAAAGTCTCTGAGGATGTTGCCATTTCATTAAACAGAGTGTTTAGATGGGTCATGAGGAAGAAAAATTTCTACGCTTATTGTATCTGAGTTAATAGTTGTGCGAAATAAATGCTTGAAAAGTTGTGTGAGGTTTTCCAAAATGGAGAAAAACAAAATACAGAATTAACCTGCTACAAAATTACATAATGATTTTGATTATTGTTTGACCATCACAAAGCATAAAATATGTGAAGACCTTTTATACAAAATAGATTGTCTTACCAATTTCATAAAATAAATAAAACAGTAGTAATTCTTAATAAAGAATTTTTACATAAAAATAAAATTTTAACGTGATTACTTTTTTTTTTTTTCTTTTTTTTATTTATTTATTTATTTATTTATTTATTTATTTTTTTGTTACAGATATTTTACCTTTTTACCCCATTGGCACCCCCCACCCCACCCCCCCTCCACCCTGTCCCCGGCTTAGTTGTCCATGTTCATTGGTTATGCATACATGCATATAAGTTCTGTGGTTAAACGTGATTACTTTTTTATGATGCTTGCACCATCTAGTGGTCCATTTGATCTGCTTGGAAAAGAACAAAGCCAAGAACAAAAATCTCATTGCATTATAGACCGACATGGCAATGC